AACGTATCGTACAGCTCCGGCAAGGCCTCGGGCTTCTGTCACTCGTGACCAGCTGACTGGTTGAAAAATGAGCAGGAAATTCTTTAATCTATATTACATCAGTATTGAACAACTGCAGGAGAGTGTGAGTCATAAAAGCGAGTAGCACAAGGTGAATCTAAAACTGTACTGATGGTTAAATTACCTTTCGCTCGATAGCTTCGGAAAGGCTTCCACCTGGTACTGAAAAACAGCTGCTGCCTTTCCTCGAGCCTCCGTCTACCTTCTTCACTCTTGTTTACGTGCGTGTGAAATAACCTAGTGTATTGTAATGACTGGGTAATCCGATCAAGCTGTTATTAACATTGTCTTTCTGGCATATATCCTGTGAAGTATGATTGTTGTGAAGTTTAATTTAATTTTAATCTTTTGTTTTTCTTTGTAGCTGGCCTACATGATTGTTGAATTAATTTATTTGGAATGACTGGTAAGGTGTAGTGTTCTTTTTAATTTCGGCAGCTTCAGAAATGTCACGACCTATAATTTCTCCTGAGAAGTATTATTTGAAGGAAGCACAATGAATTGGTATAGGAAGAGGACAGTATTTATATGGTAGAACAAAAGCATCGTCATATCATTTGACCCTGCAGGGGACCATTCGTCGTTTAGATTATTATTGTGGATCAAGTATTGAATTAGCAGACTTTACATCAGTAATTAGCGACATCAAGTGTTCCTATCATTAGGCTGCTAAGAATCACCTCCAACCGTACGTCAGTCAGTGGACTGTCACAGCAGGGTACATGAGATGTTAAGCCTGAAGGCACGCGTGATGCCCGTTTCTCTACTTCTGCGGTGATCCTTTCGTCTCATTTTTAATCAAAAATACCAGTTACTTACATCTGAATTTCTGTGAAACTGTCTCTCTAACTGTGGACATCATGTTGCCTCATCCCGTGTATCAGACATCTGTTTTCTTTGTTATTCTCATTTCCAGCTCCCTTTCATGTCAGACGACATTATGATCAACCAATCCTGTCAGTTTCCTGTATTATTCAGTGTACAGTGCAATGAGTATCTGGGAGAATAAAATCAGAGCAAACAACTGCATGGAATAAATGCTGATGTACTGTACCCAAACACCGTGGTCCGTCTCTTCTGTGACCAAGGAGGTCATTGCTGGGCTTTTTTTTGTTTGTTTTTATCAACTCTGCACACAAGTTATAATAATTAATTACATCTTATGTTTATTCACACATGTTCCAGCCACCTGCAGTCAAAA